ACAAAAAAAAAAAAAAAAAAACACATCTTAGTAAAACCAATACCTTCTCAGCTTCGCATCGAAGCTAAAAACACATCATAGAAAAATTAATACCTTCTCAGCTTTGTTCGAAGTTGAAACAATATTTATTTATACAGAATGGTTTCATACGTATTGACAACTCTTATAACTTTTGATCCAGTATAGCTAGTTATAGGATAGCTAGCTAGGCTATATTTACTTTAGATACTATGGTTTCCTATTTAATTTATATTCCCTTAGAAGAACTACCATAAGTCACACTAGAAATATTATATATATATATATATATAATAAAGAGCTGACGACACACACATACACTAAATTGGTGGTAGTTAATTTAAGTTAATGTTTTAGACAATAAGAGTAATAGTCACGATAATGATAAAAGTCAACTGGTGTTGGAGACATGGTATGGTAGCAGTGAATACCAAAAGTGCTTATGTGTGCAATCTGCTCTCCATTAGTAACACGTGTGTCACTGTGTTAATATTGTATACTTCGTTGGCGGTACAAAGTAGTTATGGGATATAAGATGGTAACAATTAACATAAAGGGAAATGTGACAATTATACTAGTCTGTAGCCAAGAGTTACTGATGTCAAACTAACAAAGAGCAGTTGTGTTTGAGTGGCCGTTATAGACAGAATTTTCGATAATATCACTTTTACCTTATTTATGTTGTCAGTAACTTAACTTATTTTATTACTCGTCTATCGCCAATTGTCATCAAGCCAACCAACTCCGTCTTACTTGAATATACCTACTTACCAACGTTACTAAAATTCAAGATAGACATAGTATACATTACATATATCTTATATTTACTGAACGTTTAAAATACAACTCCACTTTATCGTTGACATAAAACAATAGTTTAACTTTATTATATAATCTCTCACTAGTAACTAAGGTACACGATTGCCTGTGTCTGCTTCAGATAATTAAGACTCATTTAAGGAGATAGGGACAATATTTGGACAGACGTCAGGTAGCTACCGATTTTTTCGACTAAGACTCCCGAATATTAAACGAATCCTTAACACCATTGTATTTTAAAAATATATGGTTTTGTTCTGTCCTTTTCTGAATCCATATCACAATGACTGATAACGTAAAAAACATACAACATTTAAATGTTCACAAACGTTGATCTAGTGCTAAAGAAACTAAATACTTAAAATTTATAAGATATTTTTTACCAATTTTTTTCTTAATTTTTTGTAATATTAAAAAAATTTATATTTTTTTATATAATATTTATATTAACAATGTATAATAATTATTAAAAAAAACAGTGAAAATGTGAAATTATTACTGGATCAAAAGTTATAAGAGTTGTCAATACGTATGAAACCATTCTGTATAAATAAATATTGTTTCAACTTCGAACAAAGCTGAGAAGGTATTAATTTTTCTATGATGTGTTTCTATGATGTGAAGCGTTTATTTTTGATAGTGATTTTAATCACTGTCAGATATCATTATACTTGATCCAACTATACCACGTCACAACTGTGCCGCGACCCCCCTGTGCTGGGTTTTTTTTTATAAATATTTATATACTCCTTTCATCTACACGCTTTTTTTGTAAATCGGATCATACCCCTTTAACAAGGGGGGTCAAAACTTTAATCATGCGTATTGTTACTATGATATTTTCAATTTAATTTTTGAAAGTATTCCGGAAATACTGACACTTTTATATATATCTTAAATTAAAGCTTATATAATATACTTTAATTTAAAAAAAAAAATGTGACCTCTGGATTTGTCTTCACGGTAAAAATGACTACCGTATTCAAAAATTTGCTATTTTTGTGTTAAAATTCTGGGTTTTGTATTTTATTTTATTTTAAAATACCTGACAAGGGGAGTACAGATTTTNTTATATATTTTTTTTATAAATCTGACCCTATACCTGACCATAGGGGAGATTCAAAATAAAAATTTTTTCACAAAAAATTAACATTTGAAAGTGATCCAGAATAACTGACTTTTTTTTATATATCTTAAATAAAAGCTAATCTTATTATATAATAGAACAAGGAAAAAAACCCAGCACAGGGTGGTCGCGGCACAGTGGTGACGTGGTATAATATAGGGAATCTCTTGAATCAAACCCAAGTCTTTATTAAATGATAAATTTTTGTAGTGTTAGTGACCACTTTTTTTTATTTTGAATTTTCGTACGTATAACAGCCTAAATATTATTTTTGATTTTTAAAATTTGTGTGATTTATTTAAATAACACAACAATAACACAGATAAGTAGATTTTAAATGTATTATAACTCAAATGCGCTAACATAATTTTTTAATAGATTCCAAACTGCATCGTAAAAATACTTTACTTGTTTCAAAACTTTCAACACAAAAATGCAAATATACCCCCTACCGTATACAAAGCGAAATAAACTGATAAAAGTTTTAAAAAGGAGACTAACAAATAGTTTTGTTTTTTTTTTTTTAGAAAATAATGATAGAGGAATAGAAAAGTATAAAGATATTACTGCTAACGCACGTGTCATAATTAGTAAATAGGTTTCATTATCTATAGGATTAACGAGTTATGGACGTAAACAAAAAGAAACAGGAAGCTATTATTACTATTTAAATAGTTCTTACGATTAATTAAAAATATTTTAAGGTTAATGAATTTTACACCTCCAAAGTCATCAGGGTTTTTTGAATTCTTCTCTAAAATGAAAGATAATTAATGTTACAGATTGAATAATTTTTATATTGAATTCATATTAATGAATACTCGTTTCTAGAATAGCTATCAAATATCTGACAGTATAAGTTTGTGCCTAAAAGGTTTGAATAAATGTTAGAGTACCAAAACATCTGAATTCATTTATGAACATTGTTACGCTTAATGAAATATCTAGTACCACTTTAGAGTGAACCTAAACAGATTATTTTATACATCAAATTACTAAGTTATTTAGTTTACTTACTAAAAAAATGATGAATTGTAAATATGTATAAACAATCATTTTCCTTTAATAGTGAAGCTTGAAAAAAAAAATTATATTCAGTTAGGAAATTTTATAATTACTATTTACAGAAAATTTATAAGAAAATCTCAATATTTTGTTAAAATATTTTTTACATTTTATCGTTATAATTACAATAGAAAATTTCTAATCATTGTAATCATATCTAAGTAACTTTTGGTTTTTAAAAAGATTCTAAAATTTAAGTATATAGATATTAATTAATTTTTATGATTTACTTTAAATAAAAAACCAATCAAAAAGTTGTTAATAAAATCTACTCAATTGAATGTTTTATAAAATTTGATTATAATTGTAAAAATTCATTGCTAAAGTCAAGTGAAACCAAAAATTTTTTTTTTTTCAGACATGATTTTATTATCATAACTCACTCGATTACTTACACATTAAATATGATAAAAAAAAATTGTTTTTTTGATTATCTTAAGTTGCACATTATTCTTGAATTATTAACTATATAATATTTTTTAAGTTCATCTATTATGCCTTGTAAGGGTATCAACTTTATTTTTTATACGGAAACACATATTTTGAATTTAATAAAATGTTTAACTTTTTAATGTAATAGTAAATGCCATTTGAATTTTTAATATAACTTTATTAGCTTATTAGATATAAAAATTTAAAGTTTCAAATTTTTGAATTAATGTACTTGTATAATACACGAGGGTTTACAAATACAGGTAGCTAATTGGTTTTTTATGACGTCGATATTCTCAGATACGTAACATTTATTATCAATGGTAATAAGGCACATTATTGTGAGTTTATAAATACACTAACTGGTAATACAGAAGATATATCTATTGATTTTTATAATTGGCTATAACCACTCTATGACTGTGATAACGACGTTATAAAAAAACAATTAGCTAGCTGTATTTGTACTCCCTCTCAATCATCGCAAATTACAGTTAAAATTAAATATTTAACTTTTTTAGTGATTTCCCCCATTTATATAGAACGAGGGAAATGTTTCAATTTTGGAGTAAATGTCGTCGACTAAATACGACTTGAGATATTTTGACATATCTTTGAAAGAAGAAATCCGGTACGTGAGACTAAGGAAAAGTGGTAACAAACACATTAAAAAAAAAATTATAAAAACATCATAGTAAAATTAATACCTTCTCAGTCTCGCATCGAAGTTAAAATACGAAAATATATAATTTATCGTATCGATCACTCCTCCAATAAATAAAAATTTGCTCGGGTTACAGGGTAAGTGATTTTGATGTAAGTTAGCTATTAATGGATTTAATAATTAAATAGTAGCTTAAAAAATTTTGTTTAGCTTTTTAAGTTATCTTTAAAATTTCTAAATCGGAGTAGATAGATTGATGGAATTAATTTTAATGATAATTAAATTAATTGAATCTCCTAATCTTTGTAGTTTTACCACTGATCGTAGTATTTCATTTATTCAAATATAATATCTCGAATAATTAAATTGCTTAAATCAGCTGTTATATCCATACGAATGTTATAGTAATACATCAGAGATAATAGATTATAAGTTTATTTTTACTACTTGATAAATGATTTAGGATTAAATATTATTTACAATGTTTACTATAAATAAATATATTTGATGGTAACTTATTACATATTTTTTACCTGCTCATAATTTTATGTTTCATTAAGAATTATTTATTTATTTAATACGAAAAATGCATACTTACTCGTATAATTTTTCACGATATTTTTAATAATTTCAAGATAATTAGAAATTATATTTCAAATTTACAATAATTTAGTTGGGAAATTTTGAAATGATATTTGTTTACACGGTTAAGTAAAATTTGATAATTCTAATATATGGGGTTTTTTAAAAGTTCCTAAAAATCTTGATTTAAAGAAAATATTTTACGATAATTATTTTAACATCAGTTAAATAAATGTTTATCCATTATTCGAAATGATATTTATAGTCTTTATTTATAAATATCAATACTTATAGTTAAATAGTATTTTAAAATTAATTAATGATATTATATAGTATAATTATAAAACAAAGACCATTATTCATGTGTAATAAAATAAATCATGTATACAATAATGAATAATGTTTCCAACTATTAAAAATAGTTTTATGTTTTATAGTATTAATTTTTATGGTAATTTAGAACAGTTTCAAGATAATAATTAAGATGTTTCTGAAACTGTCAATTACAATATTTAAGTTATCCTTATGTTCAATAAGATATAAAATCATTAATTAGTGTCGACTAAAATATTTATATACATTAGTCATATTCAACTATATTGCAATACAAGTCTTTAGATAAATAGTTACTAAATTACGAATAATTTTAAGAGAAGATAAGTTATATTGAATAAAATGTCATGAAAATATAGTTTTATTTAATGTAAATCTAATTTTATCTCGTAGCAAATATCGTTAATTTTTTTTAGTATGAATCATTTATAAAATAAAATGTGTAACGAAATCATAAATATACATATTTTTTCGGTTTAGAGTTTTATTAAGTATTTTTTTATTTATCTACAAAAAAAAAATGTTTTTAGGTTTATTTACTAGGATAATACTAAGTAAACAATGACGAAAGAAATTTAAAAGCATATTTTGTTCTATATTAAATTTTGAATCGAAATAATCGATCAAAAAATGTGATTTATTTGATTTATCGAAGTACAAGGCAATTTTTTTTAGTTTTTTAGCGTCATGTATCTACAGAATATTTATTAAATATCTCTATATAGCGATGGAAAACATGATTTGTTAGGTGATAACTGTGAAGAAACCTATTTATTTACAATAATTGTAAATATGATCTATAATTATATCAACTAGATGTTAAAACTGATTTTCTAAATGGAAAGTTACAAAAAGTTATTTCTAAACCTCACGTATAAATCACTTTTTGTCAACCAAAAAACGGAAGGAGAGCATCAAGTATGTAAACTAATAAGTATGTAAATCTGATTATGGTTTGAAACATGCATCTCGGTGTTGGTATTTACTTATGATGATTTTATCAAAAAGCTTGGATTCATTAGTTATGAATCTGGTAATTGTTAGTAGATGTATAAAGTATGAGTGTCATACTTCGCAGAGCAATCCAAGCAACTTAAATGGACTTAAAGATTTGTTAAAATGGAGTGATCGAATTCAGACATTATTTAGTTTCATTATTTTTACAGTTTGTTTGAAACTCTACTAATACATAACGAGACTTTTGGAAATAATTACATGTTTTAATAGTCCACAAAACCGATTTGTTTTGTGATACAAACTGATATTCACACAGTTCCCAATTTCTATGGGCGCAATAAATAGGTTTTTTTCACTATCTAAACTCTAAGTAATTTTAATTGTTCCTTTTCGATCACTTTGATGATCGGCATATTCCATACAATTTCTGTTAGTTTAATTGATACTATTGACATTTTTTCTTTAACTGTGGCACTAGTGTCTGATAGCTTTAACCTCATTATTATCAGAAGACTTGTTTGTATTGAACAATTTTATTACGTTAAGGTTAAAAAAACTTCTCGTACATTGATAGGTTACAAATATATAAAAATCAAATTAATTGGCCGCAACGAAAAATTTGTAACTTTCATGGCGTTTCACAAAATCATAAGAAAAGGGTCGCCAACCTACTGGGCGAGACAGTGTATTGTCGGACCACAGTAGGATTTAAAAAAAAAATTAACTTTTATATATAAAAACAATTAGAAAAAAATATATAATTAATAAATATTAAAGTTGATGTCCGTTGAGTCGTTGATAGTAGATGTACACCAAAACCTCGTGACAGTTGTCACATAACCATATAGATCAGGGATGACCTTATACAAGGCCGTTGCCCGTACCTTATAAACTAGGGGAGTTGATTTTTGAAAGGAAAAAAAAATACACGAGTCCATTGAAGATGGAACACGCAAAAAAGAAGAAACAGATGATGGTTAAGTTAAATTAAGGGGACTTTAATAAAAAAAACAAAAAAAATTAAGTTATTACGAGGCAAAAAACCGAATGGTCAAAAAACTTCGTCTACAAATTAAAGGGGACAAAGAAAGAGAAAAATGAAAAAGTTGCAACGCACACAACAAAAAAGACCGCTATGGACGAAAATTAGCGACGACCAGTTCCGATGATGGCTAATTTCCGACAACTCGTCCGACGTTTGACCCGGCGGTCCGTTGGCGACAACACGGCTAGCCTTTGGAGTAGGGGTCAAAAAAAAAACTTAATACCCAGTGCCGGAAGTTACTAAGAACAATTTTAATCATAAGGCGACAATGTATGGGGTGAGCAGTGCAAATGACGTTCAAGATAGGAAAGGAGCGGGGTGAATGTACACACAAATGCCGTCCATTAACCGGTCTGAANTACAGTTTAAAAGTATTTTTTATAATTTTCGGCGAACCCTAATTATGCGATAGCGGTATAATCCCCAAAAAATATGTACAAACGAAAAATGCGGCATTATTATTCAATATCCCATACACAGCAGTGTGTAGATCGTCAATATCAACAGGACTATAGAGCAATATTCTTTCAAAGTAGATATGACGCAAGGATTGCGTATTTTTTGTATTTGAGTACCGTTTATTCCATAACGTTTTTTAGAATATAAATATACCAGCTCATTGTTAATAAATCTAGAACTGGACTTATATCATATATGATACTCTGTTAACATAATTTTTATTAATACTATGGAATTTCGATGTATAATGGAATTAACTTATTATATATTTTTTTATTCACACATAATTCTATATTACTGTTACGAACCCGTATTGTTATTATATTTATGTAGTGCGGTTAAGGAATAATTAGTATTAGACAACGAATAAGCAACAATTAATCGCGTTCGAACCATTGTATAAATATTTTGTGTTACGACTTATAAGTGATTTTACCTTAAGACGATTAATGTATCAATTATAAATAATTGTATTTCTAAATTTAAAGAACCGTTGTAAATATATATATTGTACCGTAATCTTTTATTTTCATTTCACATTACAACTACATCCACTCCAAACACGTTAACGTGTCTCATTTTAGGTGGTACACAACATTACATTAAGAATTATTTTTTCATATATTATGAAATATGATTAATTACTTGTATAATTTTGAATGATATTTTAATAATTTTAAGATTATAAGAAATAATCTTTTTAATTTTGAAATATTTTAAAAGATATTTATAAACACGTTTTTTTTTTTTTTTTTTTTTTTTTTTTTTTTTTTTTTTTT